CAGTCTGGCTACAGAAGCTCTGCAGTGCTGCAGTGGGCTCCACCCAGTTCAAACTTCCCGGAGGCCTTGTTTACACAGTGAGGGGAAAACTGCCTACTCAAGCCTCGGTAATGAGGGACACTCCTCCCCTCACCAAGCTGGAGTGTCCCAGGTCAACTTCTGCTGTGCTGGCAGCGAGAATTTCAAGCCAGTGGATCTTAATTTGCTGGGCTCTGTGGGCGTGGGATCTGCTGAGCAAGACCACTTGGCTCCTTGGCTTCAGCCCCATTTCCAGGGGAGTGAACAGTTCTGTCTTCTTGGCATTCCAGGCACCGCTGGAGTATGAAAAAAAGACTCCTGCAACTAGCTTGGTGTCTGCCCAAATGACCGCCCACTTTTGTGCTTGAAACCCAGGGCCCTGGTGGTGTAGGCACCCGAGGGAATCTCCTGGTCTGTGGGTTGGGAAGGCCATGACAAAAGCGTAGTGTCTGGGCCAGAGTGCACTGTCCCTCACGGCACAGTCCCTCGTGGCTTCCCTTGGCTAGGGGAGGAAGTTTCCTGATCCCTTGCACTTCCTGGGTGAGCCGACGCCCCACCCTGCTTCAGCTCACCCTCTGTGGGCTGCACCCACTGTCTAACCAGTAGGAATGTGATGAGCTGGGCACCTCGGTTGGAAATGCAGAAATCACCTGCCTTCTGCGTTGATCTCCCTAGGAGCTGCAGACCAGAGCTGTTTCTATTCGGCCATCTTGCCAGCCACCCCCGCCTGTTCTTTTTTGGTGGTGTTCTTGCTAAATTTATTTTATTGAACACAGCAATAGCATGTTCTCACATAGGAAGCTGACTAACAGAATGCACAGCATTTAAAAAATGTGCTATTTGTATAGAAATAATTTGCCAACTTCAGGAATCAGTTTGAGACCCACATATCACCTGGATGAATGGTTCTCCTGCAGGATCTGATTCAGAGGAAAGAGTCATGGGGTGCGGTGACTTGAAAGAGCTGTGGTGAATAATTGAATTCTAGGAATGGCCACAGTAGACTTCCGGTTAATATTTCTGAAAAGTGGGGTTATGAAGCATATATTATTAAACTGTTATTTTTAGTAGACATCTTATACTTGTATCTGGTCTGTAAGACCAGTCAGATAAGTGTACATTTTTCAATTAGTTTTCTTTGGAAGTGGGCACAGGGGCCTACACTGCTCAAATCTATAATTATATTTACCTTATGATAATTTATTATGGCTATGATGGGAATTTGCTTATTTTTCTTTGAAAAATGTTTTCAAGCTATACTTGTTTCTGCCATGATAGTTAGAGAACTTTTGCAACATTCCTTTTTTTTGTGTGAGCAGAGCCACAATTATTTTCTAATGAGAATTGATTAAGCTCTTTCCTTACCCTATCCCAGTTTTAAGTATTGTCAGTGGTGATTGGGGTAGAGGGTACTCTGTTTGGCATGTTTCCATGTCACGTGAGGATGTCAACCATACCATCTTTTTGAATGACTGCTAAGGCACATTACTCCTTTTAACTGTCAACAGAGAATGACTACTGTGGTCTGAATGTTTGTGCCACTACAGAATTCATATGTTGAAACCTAATCATCAATGCAATAGCATTAAGAGGTGGGGCCTTTAGGAGGTTATTAGGTCATGAGGGTGGAGCCCTCATGAATGGGATTAGTATCCTTATAAAAGAGGCTGCAGGGGAGCTTGTTCACCCCTTCTGCTTCACACGGCAAAAAGGCACCATCTATGAGAAATAGTCCTTCATCAGAGACTGAATCTGCTGACATGTTGATCTTGGACTTTCCAGCCTCCAGAATTGTGAGCAATAAATTTCCATTGTTTATAAGCCACTGAGTTGGTGTATTTTGTTATAGCAGCCCAAATGAATGAAGAAAACTGCATTCCAGGGGAATGTTAGGCAGTATTATCTCAACTCTTTATAGTGTGGTGTCTGTTACTGGCTCAGTTCATGGAACTCTGCTTGTGGAATGTGCATTACATTTATTTATCTATATCAGGAATTCTTAATCCTTGGATAAGTTTCAAGGGATTGTTAACCTCTTGAAATTATAGCCCTAATTGGTTGTATGTGCTTCCTCGTGGCGTTGATACACTCCTTTCACCCAATTCTCAGTGAGGTCCATGTTCCAAAAAATGGTTAAGAATCACCATTTTGAAGTCCTTCTTGCTATTATGCCGGATTCTTAAAGAGCTGTATCTGCATGATAGGAGAATGCCTCTTTGAAGATTGCTTTTGTGCATGTTGGCATGGGGGAGGTGCTAAAATTTCAGATGGGATGGCCAGGGAAGGCTCCTTTAGAAGGTGAGTTGAGTGGTGGGGAGAGCAGTGGATGATGAGTGGGATCCGGGACCTTGTAGTCCTGCTCAGGACTTGGACTTTTACTCCAAGTGCCAGGGTAGGGCTGTAGTGCTTTGAGAAAGAGAGACATGATCTGGTCAATGTGTTAATAAGATCACTGTGACTACTGTGCTACAGAGACATGATCTGATCTGTGTTAAGAAGATCACTTTAACTGCTATGTTTATAACTGACTGAACTGGGGAGCAAGGACAGAAGTAGGGAGACCAGTTGGGAGGCTCTTCTGATAGTTTCGGGAAGAGATAATTGTGGCTTAGAACAAGGTATTGGTAGTGGAGAAGGTGACAAATTATTAAATTTTGAAATTGCTTTGAAACTCTGGTATTATTAGGATGTTCATGAGGATGTTAGCTGTTATCTTATAAAATTAATCAATAAAAATTTCTTACTGTTCTTAGTGTTAGGATTATTTGTACTCTTCTCCTAAGCTGTTCATTTCATTTTAACTACTTAGAATTTATAATTGAACAATACGACCATAAGAAAAGTTAGAACAAATTAATGGTTCATCCTTAGGAAGTGTCTTAATATTAATGGTGTTTGGTGTATTAGACGTATTTTTGTCATCCTATCTTTAATTTTCCCTTTGCTTCAAATTTTTTCACAGTTTAAAAATTTTCTGTCACTTTTTCTGTATTTTTTTTAGACAGAGTCTCACTTTATCACCCAGGCTGGAGTGCAGTGGTGCGATCTCAGCTCACTGCAACCTTCACCTCCCAGGTTCAAGCGATTCCCTTGCCTCAGCCTCCCAAGTAGCTGGGATTATAGGCACGTGCCACAACACCCAGCTACTTTTGGTATTTTTAGTAGAGGCGGTGTTTCACTATGTTGGCCAGGCTGGTCTGAACTCCCGACCTCAAGTGATCCATCTGCGTTGGTCTCCCAAAGTGCTGGGATTGCAGGTGTGAGCCACTGCACCCCACCTCCTTTTCTATATTATTTGTGTTTTAAAAAATGTTCTTTATATTCCTTTTTGTACAGTTTAGGGTGCATATGTTTCTCTCATCAAATCTATGTCAGAAACCACCTTTCACTGTCTCTTCAAGGTTGAGTCTATGTCCTTTTTACACTTGTGATGTTTCTCTGTTATTTAAGAATGTAACCTGACTGCAAGAATCCAAACCATCAGAATAGTTTGTGTTTTGCATGGAACATTAAATAAAGAAGAGGTTGTTTTATGTAAGGAAAACTGCTGATCTATTTGATCACTTAACTGAGGAGACCAGGTGAATTAAAAGTGAGCCAAATCAATTGTTGAACTGAATTACTAGTCACTAGTAAGTTTCATCAAAGCAATCCAGTGATGTGTTGTATCTGTGACACAGCTTGATTATAAAACTTGCCTTTGAGTTTATTTTATGAGAACATTTTATATCAAGAACAGGTAGCATAAAAACAGGGAGGAATTTGTACTCATTTAATATAAGTAAATCATGAGGGTTCCAAACACTGAACTGATTTCTAGAAATCCTAAAAACCATTGTGATATCAGTGTATAAAGAACAAAAATTCTGATGACAAACTTGTAGTCTGAAAAACAAATTTACTGCACTACCCACTGTTTATACTCATTTATTTTCTCCCTGATAGTAAGTTGTAAAATAAATAAACATGTTTTTCCATTTACTTATCATGTGGTGCCAATTCTCAGATATGAGTCATGAGGCATGTTTCTCACTTAATGTTTTGTACTATTTATTCTTTGTGGTAAAGTGTGGTTTCCATTTTAAATTACGTCTCTCAGAGTCATAGGCAGCTCTGAAAGGGGTTGTAGAGACTATCTGACTGTCTGATTTGTAGATGAGGAACCTGAGATCTAGAGTGTTGAAAACCCAAGTCCCAGAAGAGCTTAGACTGGCACCAAACACTCCTGACACCTAATTCAGGTAGATTTTCATCCAAAGTCCAAGCCCAATATATTAAAATTATACTACTATTTGGATTTGTGACATGGTAGTACAAATAATCATATTTGTGATATTTCAAATTGAGTAGAACTCGTGGGAAATCTTGTCTCTGAAGTCAGACTTCATTTGGGTATATTAAGCCATCAGACTTTTAATTATTCTAACTCTCCAATATTACCTCATCTGCAAATTAACAATAGGTTTCCAAAAGTCTACTGGTAAAATTTCTCCTCTTTATTGGAAATAAATAGGCAGTTGTTATCTATGCAATAATTATTTGGCCTTATAATATCATAGTAAAGATAAAGACTTTAGAAAACAGGGAAATTTTAAGACCTGAGCATGAAAAAAATTGAAGATGGTGATATTAATGATGTTAGATTAGTTGTTACATATTTAATCAATATCGTGGTCACTTGTGTTTAGTTAAAAATTTCAATCTTATCCTGTGATACCTGTCCTTGTTTGTTATGGCATAAAGGAATACTCAATTTACATTTTTTTGACTTGTATTTTTAGTGATATAGGATGCGTAAATAAATAAATCTATAACATAATTTATTGTGAGATATTTCTCAGATATTGATCTAGAGTATCACAGGTGATTAAAATTTAGAGACTTATCTATAATCCCTTTCTTTTTATGTTTTCCACAGACAACTTATATATGTGTGTTTTTGTTTGTGTGTGTCTTTTAATTTTAGATTTACTCTTTTCCAGGTGTACCTCTCTGAAGTAAGATGATTTGTCAAAAATTCTGTGTGGTTTTGTTACACTGGGGTAAGTTATTTGCTCATTTGCTATTTTAATGCCCTTAAACATGGTAGATATTTTGCCTTAGAGATGCTGTTTTATTTATTAACATAATTTCCTTTTTCTAGTTAGGAATTCTCATACATGCTTATGATTAAAAATGCAAACCATAGTATAAGTGTATAAATGTGAAAATGAAAACTCTTCCCAACCTCCTAAAGACAACCTGATGGTGTATCCTTCCAGAATTATCAGACACACACAGACTCACACACACACACACACACACACAGACACACACACACATACACAGACACACTCATATCTATAGCTGCAAAAATAGCACTGGTCTATACATGTTGTTCTGGATGTTTATTTTTCCATTTAATAGGTTTCCAATTTATCATGATGGCTTTTTATCTTTATCAGTATTTGCTAGGGTACTTATTAGTTTAATGGTTACATGACAATGCACTGTATGAATATATATAAAGTTATTATACATTTATATTTATATATAACATGTATAGCCCGTTTGACCAGTTCCTGATTGATAGACATTTCTTTTTCTGTAACAAATAATACTGCATTGAAAATTCATATATCTTTGTATATTTGGAAAAATATTTCTGTAGATTCTTTTTTTTTTTTTTTTTTTTTTTTTTTTTTTTGGGGGGATGCAGTCTTGCTCTGCCGCCAGACTGAAGTGCAGTGGCATGATCTTGGCTCACTGCAACCTCCGCCTCCTGGGTTCAAGCGATTCACTACCTCTTTTTTTTTTTTTTTTTTTTTTTTTTTTTTGAGATGCAGTCTTGCTCTGCCGCCAGACTGAAGTGCAGTGGCATGATCTTGGCTCACTGCAACCTCCGCCTCCTGGGTTCAAGCGATTCTCCTACCTCAGCCTCCTCAGTAGCTGGGACTACAGGCACGTGCCACTATGCCCAGATAATTTTTGTATTTTTAGTAGAGACAGGGTTTCACCATGTTGGCCAGATGGTCTCAATCTCTTGACCTCATGATCTGCCCGCCTCGGCCTCCCAAAGTGCTGGGATTACAGGCGTGAGCCACTGTGCCACATTGCCAATAATTTTTGAGCATACCGTTCTCACGTGTTTCTTACCACATTCTGGTGACATTCTGATTGTCTTAAACCAAATCATTTAAGTTAGATTATGTTCCAGGTTTTTGAAATTAAAGTTAGAGTATCTTTAACAAAACTTATGTGATTTGGCAATTGTTTATCTAGCTTTCTTTAACAAAACTTATGTTATGGCAACTTTATCTGGCAACTGTTACCTGTGTGTCAACTGGTTCTGAGCATCTCCTTGGCTACCCCAATCTAAACGGGCTTTTCTAAGCTGCCCTACAGGTCTTTCTTGTTGTACATACTTCTTTCTCATTGCAGCCACCTGTATACCTCCAGAAAATAACCTGGATAGCTCCACAGTTACAGATTTCCAAAACATTGTGCCACAAGGGATTATCAAAGAGAAATAGCTCGTTCTCTTTTTATATTCTCTAATTTTATTAGATATATTTAAGGGAACTATTCATTCTCTTTTATAATTCTCTATTAATTTTTGTTAGACTCTAGTGTTTTACATTGACTTTCTGGAAGGTTTGTGGTTTGATCAAGTTTGTGAATCAAAATAAATCCTGGGATATTGTTACCTCATAAGATATGCCTTCAGATGAAATTCTAGACCGCCTTTAGAGTTTAGGATTCATTTTGAGGGAAAGAAATATCATTTGCAAAGTTGCATGTGGATAAAATAGACTCATCTTTTAATTTCACTGCATCAATAGTTGCTATGTTTTTGAAGTTCATCATTACATTTTACATTTAAATACTTTTGTGAGGATTTTAGGCTAATTTGTTTCAAGCAACTGAATCCTCTATGTAGACCTAGAATATATAGTGCTGTAAATTAGTAATATTACATATTCTTGGTTTTGTAAACCCCCTCCCTCAAAACACTATTCTGTTTTCTTTGAGGTGTTCCGATTTTAGAAACACATGTTAGAAGGAGTGAATGAAGTCCAAAGGAACATAATTGTAATATGGATTTACTTTTGGTAACGTTGTGATACCTCATTGTCATCAGTATGACCATAGTCACATTTGTCACGTTAATCACTTTGGCTTCAATTTTTGCATCTATACATATTTATATTAATTTATATCTATAGAAATCGTTAGAAACCAAACTATTAACAGTCATTACCTATGTATCGTTTGAATGTTTTTCATTGATAATTGCTTTTGTAATGAAAACATATATTTGTGAGTTGATTAAAAATTTTATTTTCTTACATTTTTAAATAGCCTTTAGTTTTTAGAGCAGTTTTATGTTCACAGCAAAATTGAGCGGAAGGTACAGAGATTTTTCCGTAGACTTCCTGCCCCACACATGTATAACTCCCCATGATCAGCGATTCCCCTCAGAGTGGTACACTTGTCACAATTGATGAACCCACATTGACATATCATTGTCACTCAAAGTCCATAGTTTACATTATGGTTCACTCTTGGTGTTGTATATTGTATGAATGTTGGCAGATGTATGTATGGTGACCTTTATCTGCCACTGTAGAATCATACAGAAGAATTTCACTGCCCTATCCATCCTTTGTGGCCTGCCTATTCCTCCTACCTTCTTACCTAACTCCTGGGAACCACCAATCTTTTGATTGTTTCCATAGTTGTGCCTTTTATAGAATGTCATAATGTCATATAGTTGGAATAACATAGTATGTAGTCTTTTTCATATTGGTTTCTTTCACTTAGTAATATGCATTTATGTTTCCTCCATGTCTTTTTTTTTCCTCTTTAAATTTTTATTTTTGTAGATTCAGAGGGTACAAGTATGATTTTGTTACATGGATATATTACGTAGTGTGTGCATCACCTGACTAGTGAACATTGTGCACAATAGGTAATTTTCACTGCTCACCCCTCTTCCATCCTCTCCCCATTGTGGAGTCCCCAGTATCTATTATTCTTTTTGGTATGTCCGTGTGTACCCATTGCTTATCTCCTACTTATAAGTGAGAACATGCGGCATTTGATTTTCTGTTTCTGAGTTATTTCATTTAGGATAATGGCCTTTAGCTCCATCCATGTTGTTGCAAAACACACGATTTTATTCTTTTTTATGGCTGCATAGTATTCCATGGGGGGTGTGTGTGTGTGTCTGCACATGTGTGTGAATATGCCACATTTTTAAAATCCAGTCATTCGTTGAGGGACACTTAGGTTGATTCCATGACTTTGCTATTGTGAATAGTGCTGTTACAAACATATGAGCGCAGGTGTCTTTTTGTTATAATTATTTCTTTTCCTTTGAGTAGATACTTAGTAGTGGAATTGCTGGATTGAATGATAGTTCTACTTTTAGTTCTTTGTGAAATCTACACATTGTTTTCCTTAGAGGTTGTACTAATTTACATTCCCACCAACAGTGAATAAGCATTTCCTTTTCTCTGCATCCTCACCAACATCTATTATTTTTTGACTTTTTAATAATGGCCATTCTTACTGGTATAAGATGGTATCTTATTGTAGTTTTAATTTGCATTTTTCTGATGATTAGTGACATTGGGCATTTTTTCATGTTCATTGGCTGCTTGTATGTCTTCTTTTGAGAAATATCTGTTCATTTCCTTTGCCTTCTTTTTAATGGGATTATTTGTTTTATTCTTGTGGAGTTGTTCCTTCTAAATTCTGGATATTAGTCCTTTGTTGGATCCATAGTTCTGGAAGAGTGCTGGAACCTCCATGCCTTTTCGTAACTTGATATCTCATTTCTTTTTAGCCCTGAATAATATTTACTTGTGTGGATGTATCAGAATTTACCCATTCAGCTACTGATGAACATCATGGTTACTTCTATTTCCTTACATTATTACATTTGCCATAACTCTTCAAAATTCTCATTTCATACAAATCCATACAAGATTCTCAGAATTCCTATTCTGCATCAGTGTCTATATAAGCCAACACAATTGTTGCATCATTTGGGTAACTTATTGAAAAAGCAATTATGAAGAATTAATTTATTTTCAAACAAATATTTAAAAATAAGTTTGGCTGGTGCAGTGGCTCATGCCTATAATCCCAGCACTTTGGGAGGCCAAGGTGGGTGGATCACCTGAGGTCAGAAGTTCGAGACCAGCCTGGCCAACATGGCAAAACCCCGTCTCTACTAAAAGTACAAAAATTAACCGGGTATGGTGGTGGGTGCCTGTAATCCCAGCTACTCAGGAGGCTGAGGCAGGAGAATCACTTGAACCCAGGAGGCAGAGGTTGCAGTGAGCTGAGATCACGCCACTGCACTCTAGCCTGGGTGACAAGAGCGAGATTCCATCTTAAAAAAAAAAAAAAAAGGAAAAAGTTTAACTTTTGCAGATTTTTTGGTACTGGATTATATAATTGTTCTTAATTTTTATGTTTAAAAAGTGACAATTGAATCAGCAGTGGGCATTTCCCGTAAGAAGTCTATTCTTTTGCATCATTTTTTGTGTAAGGTGCTAAGGGCGTGTCTTATATGATGTTTTGTGTTTGGAGGATCATGGGAAAATTCAGGAGATCATCAAGCTATCATCATGTTGAAGACAAATTTTTTCTAAAAGTGCTCAGCGAAAGCAGTGTTAATATGTTGGTGTTACTCTCTTAAATACATATTAAAATAGCGCTTTGATGTTTGTTTATATAATTGAACATCCAGATATTTATTTATCATTTATACTGGATATTATATTTATCATTTATAATGGAAGCTAGAATATTATGCTTTAGAAAGGAAAAATAAAATATTTGTGTTTGTTTCCTTTTATTAAAACATAAATATAACATGTCAGATTAAAGAGAAAACATGAAGTGTCAATTTTCAAAAAGAAAAGAGATGTCAGAAAGTGGAGTTATTTCTACAAATGAATGCATCCTCTTGAATATAACACATTGTACAATGAAAGCACGAAGTTATTCATTAGGCACTCACTGAGGACTTAGAAAGTTAAATAATTATTGAGCACTACACGGTTTAATCTTGGATACTTTCTATTCATGTCTTAGTCAAAATGATCACTTTTTTCTATGTGTCTTTTTAATATCCTAACAGAGTTTATTTGTGTGATAACTGCATTTAACTTGTCATATCCAATTACTCCTTGGAGATTTAAGTTGTCTTGCATGCCACCAAATTCAACCTATGACTACTTCCTTTTGCCTGCTGGACTCTCAAAGAATACTTCAAATTTCAATGGACATTATGAGACAGCTGTTGAGTTTAATTCAAGTGATACTCACTTTTCTAACTTATCCAAAACAACTTTCCACTGTTGCTTTCGGAGTGAGCAAGATAGAAACTGCTCCTTGTGTGCAGACAACATTGAAGGAAAGACATTTGTTTCAACAGTAAATTCTTCAGTTTTTCAACAAATGGGTAAGCATTAGCTATTTTTTTTTAATGTATTGAACAATGTGTTTTAAGTCTTGTCTTATGGCTCTGATTTTTAACATACATAATCATTTTTATATTGATAATAAAATTAGGATTCATTATGTAAACAAACTAATAAATAATTCCCCAATTATCTTGTATCCCATAAAAATATAATGAGGGAAATATTTTACTTTTAAGTACATTTTAAGTACATTCCTTGTAGTCTTTTAAATTTGCTTTGAAATAGAAAACACACCTTATTTCTGTTAAATATATAAAATATCAAATGACTGAAAATATTGTTGAATTGGTTAAATTTTAAAATATTCATGAGTAATAATATTTCTTCAGGCAAGGAATATCTCTGAAATAATCTACATTTTAAACATGGGTTTTTCAGAAAGAATAGCTAATGGATGCTGGGCTTAACACCTAGGTGATATGGTGATCCGTGCAGCAAACTGCTATGGTACACGTTTACCTGTTTAACTAACTAACATGTCCTTCACATGTGCCCCTGAACTAAAAATAAAAGTTGGAAAAACAAAAAAGCAAAGAAAAAAATTCTTTTTTTTTGGTTTAAGTATAATGCATACTCATTGTAGCTAGTGTAGTTAAAAATTCTGCATCTGGAAATATAAACAACAAAATTATCCCAAGTCTTTTGGAAAAGCTAGGAAGAATGGAGTCAATTGACTCATTCATGTAAAGAGACCTCCAGTGTGAAAATACAGGCATATCTTTTCCTCCCTCAAAAGCGTGATGACTGGATTTTCACATGTATGTGTGAGATGTGCCTCCCTCAGACCTTGTTATGATGTTGGCATATTAACTGTCTAATATTTAAAAAAAAAAAAAAGCTGGGCACAGTGGCTTCAGTGCCTGTAATCCTAGCATTTAGGAGACCTAGGCGGGCAGATCACTTGAGCTCAGGAGTTAGAGACCAGCCTGGGCAACATCATGAAACACCATCTCTACTAAAAATACAAAAAAAAAAAAAAAAAAAAAAAAAAAAAAATTAGCTGGGCATGGTGGTGCGTGCCTCTAGTCCCATCTACTTAGGAGACTGAGGTGGGAAGATTGCTTGAGAGATCGAGGCTGCAGTAAGCCATGATCACATGATCATGCCATTGCACTCCAGCCTGGGTGACAGAGTGAGACCCCATCTCTAAAAAAAAAAAAGGAAAGAAAAGTGAGAAAAGTGAGAACTGAGCTAGATGAGCTAGGTAAGTTTTGAGCTCTTTTGTCCTATTTAAGTGGTTTGAAATTAAAGAGAGTTTGAGAAGCAATAATTGAATTTAATTCTGTTACTTTAGAAAAAAGGAAACTGAGGGCCAAAGGGACTAAGTGATGGGCAAACGCATGCCCCTAGTTAAAGTTTGTTCTTTTTCTCTGAGAATAGGAAATGGAAATTGTATCAGAACACTGTTCAATTTGATTTAGTTCTTCTCTTTCACTGAGTTGTTCAGATGGTTTTTGAGATTTCATGCAGTTTTTTTTTTTTTAAATTCAGGTGCAAACTGGAACATACAGTGCTGGCTAAAAGGAGACTTGAAATTATTCATCTGTTATGTGGAGTCATTATTTAAGAATCCATTCAAGAATTACAAACATAAGGTCCATCTTTTATATGTTCTGTAAGTACTAAATAATTAATTTGGGCATTTCTACCACACAATTTTTTTTAAAAGAGGTTTCATATGCAGAAGTAGATTATAAACCTCTTGCATCCCTACATTTCCTTTTATATGTTTTATTTTTTAATATAGCATTCTGCTCTATTAGGTTTCCTCTTTTCTCCTGTTAATTGAGGTAGCAAGACAGTCAGGTGTAGGGTCACGATTGTCAGCTCCCCGAGTCTACCAACTGTTAGGTTCAAGTTCAGGTTCCAGCTCATGCTGAGGTCCGAAGGCAGTGGGTGAATGGGCAATAGCTGAAAGAACACTGGGGGGCCGTAAGCAGGTGAAATGTAGTGTTATTCAGCAGCTCCCTATCAGCAGCTTACTCAGACTAGGTCTCTCATTAGCAGCTCTCTTACCAGCAGCTTTCTCTCACTTTCTGCTCTGTTTCGACTGCTTGGGCCAGCTGCTCCTATGCACAACTGCACGATCGGCTCTCCCTTGCCTTCAGGGTCAGCAGCTTAACTCTTTCTCTCTCTGGGCATGAAAGTGAGCCATGCTGTGCCATGTCAAGCCATACCCTGGCTCCCCTTGTCAGAGCAAGACTGACAGCTCTGGTACTTTCTCTCTCTCTGGGTCCAAGAATGGCTGTACAAGAGCATCTGTACAGTGTCAGCAGGGCAATTATAACTTTTACAGACAATAGTGGCATATGGCCAAGGGATGGCCTTCCTATGTTATGGCTACATGGCTGTGATAACAGCTAGAGTTATACGCCTGCACTGTACTCACTGAGTCATGCAGGCCTGGACATCTGCCTTGGCCTAATTCTTGACCAAAGCACATCCATGCACCTTACAAAGATATTGCAGATATAGGTGGGCATAGAGTCTGAAAGAAGAGTGAACTCAATTCAGGAGTCCTAGGTATTTGAGTGGAAAAGGAAAAAAGATGTGTTTTATATTTCTTTTTCAGATGATTTTTCGTATTTGATCTCTTTATAAACTTAAAAATATGAGTGGCTAATATTTATTTGTGCTAGAAAGAGAACAAAGATATTGTTTTCAAACAGCCATATACTTATAACTCAAGCAGCTAATATGTCCTTCAAATTTTCTAATTACTCCAGTGATGATATACACCATTTCTATGTCAATTTTAACTCTTTAAAATTCTTTCTCATTAATTCTTCTATTTGATGCTTGAAGTCTCGCCTCCTTCAGTTCTGCAGTTATTGAGATAATACCGTTGAGGAACAATGTGCTAGAAACTGTCCCTGTACAAATGAATAGAGACAGAAAGTAGAATGGGGCTGAGAGGAGGGGAAACTGGGGGGTTACTGTTTAATGGATATAAAGTTTCAATTTGGGAAAATGAAAAGTTCTGGAGTTGGGGGGTGGTGATGGTTGTATAATAATGTGAATGTGTTTCATGTCATTGCACTGTACACTTAAAATGGTTGAAATGTTAAATTTTATATACATTTTATCACAGTACAAATTTAAAAAGAAACTTAAAGACATGTAAAAAAGGATGAATGGTTGCGATCGCTGTCCTTGAGGTGCTCAAAGGCTAGCAGTTGGGACCTATGCGTACAGAGTTTCAGTTTCAGTGGTTACAATATGTATTTGGTAGGCACATAATGTCATGGGAGCTCATGATTGTTGTGAGGTCGTAGATGGGGGTTATCTAGTTCAGCTGGTGAGGGAAGAGAGGAGCCAAGGTTTCCGAAGGAAGGAGATAGCTGAGTTGAGTCATTAGAGATGAATAAGAGTTAATAAGAAAATATGTGGGTAGTGTAGTATTGGCAAGGAGATCAATATCACCTGGAACCTTGCTAGAAATTTAAATTTGCTAGCTCACCCTTGTAAATAAAAAATTAGGGGGGTGGGGCTCATTAATCTATATTTTACCAAGTCCTTTAGGTGATTCTGATGGAAATCAAGTTTGAAAATTCCTGGTGTAGAGGTTAATATGACAGATTTTAGAGTCAGACTATCTGGTTGTACCACTTACTAAATGCACACACAAAGCACTTACTATCTTTAACAGTTGTTCTACCTCTAGAAATTAATGCAATGGAAATATTTACACAATGCTTAAAAATTATTTGTTGAATGAATACATATTGCCAAAATGTTTTCTAAAAGATTTTCCAATTTACCCTCCAGAAATGTCTTAATGAGCCAAAAAATTATTAGTAAAGAAATAATATTGTCTGAAGGTGGGAGAAGTGAGTGGTCAATGGTCAGATAGAGCAGGAAGATATAATAAGTTCTGAATAATATGTATGGATTTGGCAGTGTGAAAATAATGGGTCTTTAGGCAAAGCTCATTCAGGGGAGTGGAAGAAGAGGTTGCCAGAACAAAGGAAAACTTGGAGAAAGGACCCTAAAGAGCTAATCTTTATGCTAGTTCCTCAGTCAGTTGATGGGGGGACCCTGCAGAGCTGGAATTCATATATCCAAGGTATACTATGGCTGGCGCTGAGAATATGGGGAAAAAACCTGGTTACTGGGACCAGCTGCTGCTGCCCAGGTGAGGAACCTCTGGCTGGAGTGATATTTCAAGAATGGAAGGCAAAACAGGAAGGATCAACTCCCTTGTCACTCCATTATTCTAATCTCTTTCTAGCTCCCCCACAGGTAGAATTTAACAAGAATTTAGGTGGCAGAGGAGAACTATGGTTTTCTGAGCTCCAGCCCCAGCATGGCAAAACAGAGCTTAGGGTGCATTGAAGATGGCAGACAATAGCTTAACCACCAGCACAATTCATTTAATTGGCTCATTGGCTACTTGGAACATTCACACACACCTTTCTACGCATACCTACCTTTCCCTACAACTTCCCTATAACTTCATGCTTTCACCTAATTAGGTGCAACTATACTTTAAAAAAAACCAAAAGGATCCTTTATTTCATATGTATGTAGTATCATAATTCATCAAAATAATTTATAATAGTTAACTGCCTCTCAAATATTGTCTTATAAATGATGCCTTCTGAAGTTAAACATAATGTAGATTCTTTTTTTTAAAAAAAATTGTCTGTTTAGAACATACTAAACAAATGATAAGTAAAATAAAAAAAAACTGTCTCCTGTAAAGTCTTCTAAGAAGGGAAATCATGACAAACTCCTGATTAGATAAAAACCATTCCATCTTTAAAAGGGATTAAAAAGAGGCATAAATAAATTTGAATAGAAACATCCATTTGCTGAGTTTTGTTGTTGTGTACAAACAAAACTCTAGAGTTAAAATGGTATTCTGATTTTCCTCTATAAGCAAGAAATTCTTTAATAGAAGCTCAGAAATGACCTCAGTGTCTTGGTGAAACATACTTCTTCACTTGCGGACACTCAGTGCTCCCATCTCTATCAGATCCGCTGTGTTACCTCTGTTAACATTCCCAGGCATCTCCAGGAAGATGGGAAATGTCATCCTATCCAAGATGGCTCTACCAAACCAAGGCTTTCCTGGCACCAACAACATTCTTTCTAAAGCCCTACACTTCACAGAGGAGGCAAAGCCTGATGAAACACCATTTCTGCTACGGTGTCCACCTTAACCTTCCAACTGCCACTGTTGTGAGGAGGAGCCATCAAAGATTGCCATAGCAACAGAGTCTTCCTGACCCTGTGGAGCCACCACTCTCAGGCACTGTCCAACTGACATCTGGTGCAGCCGATTATTTTCCCCAAAGGTCCATGTCTGCCTGACCCATGGACTCTATGAGTCGTGGTGGGTCTGATGAGCTAGTTTCTGTCGTACCTAGACAAAGAAGATGGTGTAAAACCAATTCATGCTCTTCATTATAAATCCAGATCTGATTTGGGTTCCCATACTCACAGGCCTTAAGCACTAGTATGCCTTCTTTCCGACTTGGGCAGCCCTGAGCCAGCAGACATTTGTTGGTCTAGAAGTGATAGAGCCTTCCAAGTTGAAGGACTTGGTGGCATTTTGGCCCTCTACTGATAAAAGTGGGTTGCTGGAATTTGGCATGAGGCCCAGATATCTGCACCTCTGGCTAAATATTATCCAAATACCATTTAAATGATTTGCATCCCAACTTCTTTCTCAAGTCAACATGCTCACTGATAGTTCCATAGCTTTTCCTCTTCAGATTAAGTCTTAAGGAAAAATACTGCCCCTTTATTCATCCAGCCAGACATGTGCCAGCCTCAAAGAGTTGTGTTCATGGTGTCCCGGCCTTCAGGAGATCCATATGGTCACCTTTTTTGGAAAATGTCCTACTGTAGAGCAAGGCATGATGAAGAACTTACCTCCACACATCCAGATCTGAAATGATATTTCCAAATTTTCTCCTCTCCAGATACCCATGCCAGTATCATACTGTCCAAATTCATGGAAATACTGTCTGTTCCTGGCAGACAATCCTCCAGTCCTTATCAGCAACTTTGTTGGTGCTGTGGCTTTTTCTGCTTATCTTAGCTCAGAAAGGGGAACAAGCTCCTATTTGAAGTGCAGCCCTCAGTTGAATCCTCCACGGACAACAGAGGATGAGCTGTAGGCTAGCGTATTGGCACTAATGATGTCAATCACTGAGAACATCATGGTGTGCCAGTCCACACAGATGACAGCCAGCAAGGACTGCAGTCACATCACATTCACTTCACATGGCTGTCTAGGAACACAAGGACTTCTGTTGCTTGGATTGCTACACTCATTCTTCCTTGAATAATCCCTCACACTTTATATTTCTTATACCTTAATTTTTCCAAGGAGGTAATCTTGGACATACTCATTTGGTTCTCCTTTCAAATCATCAAGGTCACTAACAACATCCATGAGGATGATTTCAGGAAGCAGGTTTGCTGGCATGCAATTTATGACAATGTGCAGCATCTGGAGACAGGCAGAAAAAGCTTCATTGTGGAAACAGATAACAATATTAGCAACTGGCAGGTCAGGCGGTAGGACTATACATGCTGCATTCCTTGTCCCTAGCACATCTCTGTGGTAGCTTGCAGTTACTGATAAGCATATTAAAACCACGT